CCCCCGGGCTTCACCAGGAAGTCTGCCCGTGGGGAGGGTCTGCTCTGGGGCGACCTGGGCGGTGGTGTGCGGTGCACAGCCACCTCTGCACAGCTGGAGAGCCCGCAGGCCCAGGGCCGGGGAAGCCGTGGGGCGGTCGGATGTGGAGGCCGTGCCTGCAGGGTTGAGGTGCACACTGGGCATCTTCTCCCCAACGGGTCTGCCAGCCAGTCGATGCCGCCTCAGAGGCCCTACAGTGGGCTTCCCAGTGCTCGCTGCCTGTCTCCTCCTGACAAAGGCTCTCTCCCTCCCCCAGCTAGCTCGCACCTCGGTCTGGGCCTCAGCTGTCCTGGGCTGTGGAAATAAACATGTCCCAGACTAAGCAGGCCACGACCACCAACAACTCAATGTACTGACACTGTCCTTAGTGTAATGCCTGCTCCCCAGGGCGACGTCTTATCCTGGCTCAGGCCCAACCGCGTCCTCGGGGCCATGTGCCAACCGTGGGCATGGCAGAACGAGCACCGCGCCCTCCTGCAACGTCCACTGTGGCCAGCCCTCTTGTCCAGGGCCTCCGCTAGGTCACTGCCCTCGACTGCACTGAGCGTGGTGTCCCTCTCTGGTGGCTGGCCTCTCCTGTCCTAAGTGTATGAGCCGCAGTCTCTCCATCTGTGCCGTCAAGGAGCATTCTGGCTGTACTTCTTCCGAGAGAGAACTGCTGGTTCTTCCGGCCGTCCCTGGACTTTCAGTATTCTCCAACGCCATCATTCGGATGCACCCATTCTTCCTCCTATTCAACGCCCACCTTCCACGTGCTGCGTATGAGGCCAGGGAGAAGGGGCCGGCTCGGGTCAGGTGCCCTCGGTTCTCACAGCGGTATCTCTTTGACCCGATGCGTCATGAGTCGGCGTTGACTCGATGGCTGTGAGTTTAGTGGGGTTTCGGTTTGCACATCTCATATTGTTGCTATGCTAGCTACACGCTCAACCACCCCAGCAGGACGGCACGGCTTTCCGCAGGCGGCAGCCACCCGGATTGCCAAGAGGGAGGACTTGGGAAGACTTACATTTTCCGGAGAGTCTCTTTCACCCTGGGCAGCTGGTCCATGGACTGTCTCTTGGAAAGTGGGTGGGGGGGAGTTATCTGAAAAGACAGCCCTGTGAGGCCGGACGCTCATGCACCAGGATGGGTGGGCAGCCCTGGCCCCTCCACGGCCTTCAGCAGCAGCATGGGAAGGGCAAGAGTTGCATCCCAGGCCCCTCAAGAAGGTTCCAGAACCCCTTCCCCAGTCCCAACATGGCCGGGAGACAGGGGAAACATGGTGTGAAAGGATTGGTCTTTCAAAAAATCTTGCCCATGTTTTTGTGTGAGCTGGTGCAGGTGAAGGGGCAGAGGAGGGTCTCTCAGGGTCCCTGGGGCAATCCCGCCTCCCCACAGAAGGGTCCTCAGTGCAGCAGCACTCCAGTCATCTCAAGGTGGGACATGCTTTCGCTGGGCTGTTTAACATGTCTTGAGAAGCGCTGCCCACTCTGTTGCTCCCCCTGCCCCCCCCTCTATTCCCCAACAAGAACTGCCGTGGGAGCAAGTGGTCAGCCTGGGACGTAAGAAAACCAGGTACCTGGGCCATCTCCGCCAGGTACGAGCGGCGCTCGCTGTTGGTCCTGTGGTAAGCCTGGCGCAGGTGCAAAAGCAGAGGCCCAGGTGAGTCTCAGAGCTCGGGGGAAGGGTCACCGTGGTCCCTGTCTGGGGGGCTCGGAAGCAATCACAGACCAGTCAGCCTGTGAGGCACAGACCACCAGCTGTGGAAACAGCCCCCACCAGGGTCCATGTGTCTGAAGGCCGTCTCTCTAGACCCCCACCCCAGCAGCCAGCAGCCCGCACTGTGCACCGCCTCAAACGCAGGGTGGCTATCCTCAGGGGCTGGGGGTCCCAGAGAGCGAGAGTGGGGCAGGGGGGGTGGCTGCCAAGCTCCTTCCTCAGTGCCATCCCCCGCTCTTTTCTCCCCGGGGCCATGATTGGCCTGTGCGCTGGAGGGAAATCTTTGGAGACAACCGACCCCTTCGGGGTCAGAGCCAGAAACAACCCCACACACAGCGGGCCCTGCCAACCTGAGCCGCCACTTGGCATGGGTGTTGTTGGAGGTGCCCGGGGAGACAGAGGCAAGGGTGTGACGCAAAGCCCGTGTCTGCAGCCGCCCTGACGGCTCTCCGCCTTGTGTGGAAGTGGGGACCTGGGGACAGTGCTTTAGGCTTTGAGTCGCCTTCGAGGTCAATCGTCCAGGAGAACGGCTTATCAGCACACTGGGTGACAAGGACGTGGGGCTTCAAAAGTTCCAGGTTAAGGACCTTATCTTGGCCCTCCATCTTCCCACGAGCTTCTCCATGGCCCTGCTGGTGCATGGCCACCCCAGGCGCAGGAGGTGTGCCAAGCCCCGCCCCTAGGACGCTTCATGCTTGCAGGTGTGCCAAGCCCCGCCCCTAGGACGCCCCATGCATGCAGGTGTGCCAAGCCCCGCCCCTAGGACGCCCCATGCACACAGGGGGTGTGCTGAGCCCACAGGCCTCCTGGGTTTGCACAGGGGGTATGCCTAGCCTGCCCCCATGCCACCCTGCTGCATGCAGTGGTGTACCAAGCTCCGCCCCCCAGGTAGCCCCACCCCCACCCCAGGCCTTGCACCTGGGCCTCCTGCTCCAGTCTGAGCGTGGACTCTTTCACTAGATTCTCCAGACTCCGCTTCTCTTTCTCCAGCTGTTTCAGGACCGTGTGCAAGGCCTCCTGCAGGAGAGAGCGCCCATTACCTGCATCGTGCCCTGGACACCACAGGGCACAGGCTCCACTTCTGCCCGTCTCCCTAGCCCCTGGCTACCCCGTGATGCCAGCGCAGGAACCCTGGCAGTGGCGCACCACACGGGTGTTCTCAGGCTCAGCCTGCACCCCTGCCTCTAGCCCCTGACCAGCCCGAAGGGAAGGGATGGTGCTGTGTTCGCCTTTGATGCGTGAGGAACACCCAGGCTGGCCAAGACAGCGCTGCAGGCAGGCGGGCCGGTTAGATGCATGGACTCCACAACCACGCATGCCAAACCACGGTCCAGGGTCGGAGGCCATGACAGCCTCAGAACATTCCCCAGGGCAGCCTGGATGTTCCTTGATAGATAGATAATCCAGATATGGATACATACATACACACACGCTAGATAATGCACAGTGGCTCTCTACAGATACACATACACGCAGGTGTGCACACCCTTCCCACCCACTGTCAAGTCCATCTCTGAGGGTCTCTGAGGCTGTAAATCTTTTCAGGAGCAGCAGCCTCATCTTTCTCCTGAGGAGTAGCTAGTGGATTTGAACTGTCAATCTTGCAGTTAGTGGTTCAATGCTTACACAACAGTGCCACCAGGACTTCTTATATATACCCACAGTGTTCGTGTGTGTGTGTACAGACATAGCTCCATCTCCACTGCCATTGACTCAATCCCAGCTCACAGTGACCATATCCTTTCCAAGACTGCAACTCTTCCCGGGAGCAGACAACCTCATCTTTCTCACATGGAGAAGCTGGAAGGTTTGAACCGCAGACCTTATGGCAAGTAGTCCAGTACCTAACACACACATACATATTCAAGGAGGCTTCAAAATATTTGTGGACAAGACGGGATTAAATGATAAAGGAATTAGTCCACAAACTTCTGAGCCCCCTTGCATATAGATGCATGCATTGCTTGCAAAATATATATACACTGCTTGTTATAAAGACATACATGGCTTGTGATACAGACAGACATTGCTTGTACATACATAGGTATTTCTTGTCACACAGACATACGTGGCCTACAGAGGGATGACCTGTGACACAGACGTATGTGGCTGTGTGCACAGACAGACGCCACTGTTGGTTCTTGGTGCTATTTCATTCCCCTGTCTTCCCGAGCCGCCCTTTGCCGTCGTCATCTCTTCCGCTTGCTCTCTGCTCACTCCAGAGCGAGCGGCCGTCTCTGCTGGCATCCGCCGGGTCTTTCCTGTCTTCTGAATGACCTCGTCCTCTCCTCGTGGGGGACGTGCGTGTCACCCCACGGTCACTGGTGTTAGTGTGCCTGGTCTCTAAATCCAGAGGGTTCGACTCAAGGCCGTGATTGGCATTCAGGGACCTGTTCTAATTTCTGTTCCCCAGGCAGCCCCTGGCTGATAATATCGAGCTTCTCCATTCTCTCTTCCCACAGATGAACTCGAGTTGATTCCTGCGTAGTTATCTGGCAAAATACACACACACACACACAAAGGAAAAAACCTCACACCAAAATCTCCCCCAAACTAAAAATCTAAATGTACATCTGTAATTCCTTCCAGAAAGCCCCTCAAAGGACCCATCCCAATCAAAGGCATTAGTAGGGAGCGGGCATGGGTGTAAAATTCTCAGTGAAATATTGGCCAGTTGAATCCAACGACGACTAACAATGGCGGGGCCTTGATTCCAGGGAGGTGAGACTAGTTCAGCACTTGCAGTCAGTTAAAATCATTTATCGCACCGTATGCGAGAGAGAAGAAATCACACGAGCACACTGATAGACCAGAACATGCATTTGACAAACTCCAAAGTACACGTATGGTTTAGAAAACAAACACACTGAACAAACCAGGAAGGGGGGATTTCCTGCACCTGATAGCAGGAGATTCCAGCACACTGCTGAGAGGAAAGCTGATTATAGGCAGGGACAGAGAGCTGGGCCTGGGCGTCCCTCAGCACGCCCACCACACTGCACTCAAGACCCCTGAGGCCACAGGAAGGAAGGACGCAGCAGCACCAGGCCCCTCTGCGTCGGCGCACACACCTGTCGCCAGGCCGGTGGGCTGGCAGTCGTGAGCTCACGGGGTGACTTCAGTTATGCAGCTGACGTCAGGGCCCAAAGACGCCTCCATCAGCGTGACCCCCAGCCCTGGAGTTACCCCAGGTTCCACGGAAGACAAGGGGACCAGGCGTCAGCAGACAGTGCTGCAGATGAGCTAGCAAGGGCAACTCAGAGAAACGCACGCAGTTTGATTGATTGTTTTCTGATTCAGGCACTGCCAAACTGGACCCATGACCTCTTGACCTTGGCTAATACCTTCAGTATGCAAATGTGACCACAAGTGGAATCTGCTATTTGTATTCGCATCAGCAAGAGCTCAGAGTGGGTGAACAGAACAAAGGGCAGTGGGAAGAAAGACAAAGTGCCCCGTAATCATGGGGACGGACAAGGTGCCAGCCTCCTCCTCCTCCTCCAGAAACCCCCAAGACCCTCTGGGGTGGCCGGCTGAGCTGGGCCCTGACTGTGCCATCTTGCCATCACCAGTGTCCTGCGCCCGCGCTCTCTGTCAGTCTCTCTGTCATTCTCTGGAAACACAGCAGACAGACGGCTGACGCTACGATTGTCTCCACAGGAAATGCCCAAGAATCACAGTGACAGCTTGGGATGAGGAGCCAGTGTCCAGTGTATGAAGATCAAGCCCAAAAACCAACTGGTTTCTGAGAAACTAGCGATGAGTGATTGGAACTTGAGATTAAAGTCATGGACATTCTCGTTCACAGCCTCCGAGTGGACTTGGACCGAGTGATCGGAGGGGCAGGGCCGAACTGCCCCTGTGGGTCTTGGGGTCCGAGACTCTGCCTGGGAGTAAGAAAGACTTGGAGTGGCTGGTGGTTTGGAACTGCTGACCTTGCAATCGAGACACACGTACATGCTGTGCCCCCAGGCCCCCCAGAAAACAAGCCCCAGCGCTCAGTCTCAGGAAAGGCCTGCGGCTCCATGTGAAGAACCCGCTGGGCGAACTCATAGGTGGTCTGCACCAAGGGCCACGGTTCATTCGCTGCCTCGTGGGCAGAAGGCTCGAGACTGGGGGATGCCGCCGGCGCCATCCCAGCCGGGCGCTCTGAACACGGACAGGGTCTGCCCACGGGGCCTGGGCGCAGGAGCAAAGGGTGGTCTGTTCAACACACGGTGCTGGAAGAGCTGAGCCCCGCCCCCCTCGCCTGGCAAGTCCCACAGCCGCAGCTCTGGAGGACGTCGCTGGGCAAAAACCCCAGGTGACCTTCCAGAGACTCTGCCAAAGCCCGGGGAAAACAGATCACGAGTCGGACTTCATTCACATGAACACCATCTGCTCCAGGAGAGCTCCCATCACGGGAAAGACAGATGAGCCGGGAGAGAACAGGCCCCACGTGTCTGATGAAAGACGTGTCCCCAGAATACACCGAACGCCTTAAAACTCATCAGCAAGGAAACAAGACACCCCACGAAGGCATGGGCAAAAGCTCAGAACACATCTCACCACAGAAAATACGCAGACGCCAAATTAGCTTACAAGAATATTCAACACCATGAGTCACTCGGGCCGTTGCAAACCGGTCCGACAATGAGATGCCACCAGACACCTAGGGACCTCCTAAAGCCTAAAGCACGACACCGTCCAACGGGCACACTCACCGCCGTCGTGGGCAAGCAGACTGGCTTCGGAAGGTGGCCTCGCTGGGAACACGCACCCACGCCACAGATGACTATTGGTCATGCCGATGTCCCTAAAGATGCCCCTCGAAGGTGAGCGAGTGAGCAGACCGTGCGTGCTGCTGCGGTCAATGGAGAGCCCTTCAGCAATGCAAAGTGGGAGAGAAAGTGCTGCCGGGTTACAGAGAGACCTCGGATGAGCATCCATCGGTGAGAGAAGCCTGTCTAGAAACGCTCTGACGGCAAGACCCCCAGCACAGGACACTCTGGTAACAGCACTGGGGCAGGAGGGCAGCGGTGGGCAGGGGCATCACAGGGCGATTTTAGGGCAGTGGAGCTGTCCCACATGACCATAATGGTAAACACGGCATTACGCATAGCGTGCATCTTCTCACAGCCTTTAGGACGCTGATGCCCATCGCCATCGAGTTCATTCCCGCGTACACCATCTGCCCGCCGGGTCGCCATGGCTGCCAGCTCTGCGGAGCTGAAGGCCAGACCGCTTTGCCAGGGGTGGAGGGTGGGTTTGAACCGCCAACCAGTGCGCTGACCACTGAATGCTTAACCGCTGCACCACCAGGACTCCTTACAGCGCATCTCTCTGGAGTCCCGGGTACAATGTCAGGCCCTTAGTGGCACACGGATTACGCATATGAAGAGTCTGAGGCTTGAACACCCACCTGGTGACCTCCCTTGAGGACTACAGCCCAGAGGGGAGGAGCCTCGGGGCAGCCTGCGCCCGCCCGCCGCCAGAATCAACTGGAGGGCACTGGCTTCGGTCCTGTGGGTTCGATGGGCGGTCACGTGTCAACACATATGCCCATGCAGTTCCCCGGGGAGAAGAAGGCCTCTCTGCAGAGGGTCTCAAACGGCTACACGTGCACACAGGGAGGTCTGAGCTTCGACCAACTCCATCCGACAGCCAGCAAACCACGCGGCGCAGAGCCATCGTGAGCAGCAACCACAGGGCCTAACAGGAGCCCCGG